GATTTGATTAGCCTACAACTTGTGAAAAACCCTTCAATGTTACCAACTGTTTTTTTTACCCTCCTGAGGAGTCGTGCTTAAATTGATTGACAATTTATTTTGCAAAAAGGTTACATATTCGTGACAGTCTATATCAAAACAAATAGTTATAATTGCAAATACAACTAATTTTAAATTAAACTTATGACTACAGTAATATTGATAATCATCCTTCTTCAACTTCTCTACTTGAAAAACACATACATAAACCTTTGATTAAAAGAATGCCTAAATGCCCCCTCAAGCATGCCAACTCTCTCCAACACCTTTATGATGTATTTTCTCATGAGATAGAAATAAACTTCCTTCTCGCCTATTCCTGTGGATCTCCATCCCCAAAATCTTTTTTACTATACCCAATTCATTTAAAACTCATGTTTTAGTTGATATTTTAACTCATCGATTTCTGACACGTCTTTAGCTGCAATCAACATGTTGTCTACATACAAAAGCAAATATACAAAAGAATAATCATTGAGCTTTTTATGATAAACACAACTATCATATTTATTCCTAGAGTAACTATGCTCAAACATAAAAGTATAAAATCTCAAATACCATTATTTGGGAGACTGTTTCAACCATAAAGAGATTTCTTCAACCTGCACATATCTTCTATACGTTCAATAATGAACCCCTCTGGCTCATGCATAAAGATTTGCTGCTCAAGCTCGTCATGTAAAAAAGTCGTCTTCACATCAAGTTGCTCAAGCTCCAAACTGAAATGAGCAACTATGGCAAGTAACGCGTGGGTTGGGGTGTGTTTTACAACTGGAGAGAATACTTCATTGAAGTTCACACCTTCAGCTTGACGGTAGCCTTTCGCTACCACGCGTGCCTTGTATCTTACAGAATATGTATCTAGAATTTCTTCTTTTTTCTTGAAGACCCATTTACAACCAACGACTTTCTGTCCCCTTAGTAACTTCACTAACTCCCATGTCTAGTTCTTGTAAAGAGACTCCATCGCTTCATTCATCGTAGCAGTCCAATCTGCAACCTCACTGTCACTAATAGCCTCCTTGTAGTTAGAAGGCTCTAGAATCTCAATTGATTCTGCTACACTCAAAACATAAGCAAGCATGTCTACATAACGTTGAGGAGGTCGGATCCGCCTTTTTGTTCTCCCGGTGGCAGTATTGTTCTATTGCTCATATGGTGTATCAGCATCTAAAGTTGAACCTTTCACAGTATTAATTGGTTCAACATGAGCGCCCTCAAACACTCCCTTTAAAACAGAGTTCTCTACCTCCACCTACTTGCTAGACTCCTTTTCAGTAACTGTGGCATCAATAACAAACTCCTTTCTGGGAAAAAGCAAGTATTTATCATCAAAAGTAATATCCCTACTAATAATAAATTCAGGTAATTTAGGATCACAACAATACAATCTATATCCCTTCACCTCAGTAGTATATCCTAGAAAGATAGTTTTCTTTGCTCTAGGTTCAAACTTACCATCATTAATATAAAAATAAACAGAGCAACCAAATACTCTTAAATGAGAGTAATTAGCAGGGGCACCAAACCATACCTCTTCTGGAGTTTTAAAATCAATTACTGTAGAAAGAGATTTGTTTATCAAATAGCAAGCCGTATTGACTGCCTCGGCCCAAAAATCTTTTGACAGACTAACATTAGAGAGCATGCATCAAGCTTTCTCTAAAAGTGTTTTATTCATCCTTTCTTCATCTCCATTTTACTGTGGTCTATGCCGAACTATACGATAACGCACAATACCTTCAGTCTTGCAGAACTGGTCAAACTCTATGAAACAAACTCCATCCCACTGTCAGTTCTGAGGCGTTTCACTTACTTTCATACTTACTTCTCTATCATAACCTTCCATTGCTTAAAGGTTGCAAACTCATCACTCTTATGCTTCAAAGAATACACCCAAACATTTCTAGAATAATAATCAATCAATGTTAGCAGAAAACGAGCTCAACCTTTCGATGAAACCTGACAGAGACCCTAAATATCTAAATGGATATAATCTAAAGTACTCTTGGTTCTTTAGACACCAGTACTAAAGGAGATTCTATGGTGTTTGTCGCTAACATAATGCTCACAAAAGTCTAGCTTGTTAGTTTTCTGACCGCAAAGCAGACCTTATTTGCTCAATACATCTAGTCATCTCTCACTCATATGCTTTAACCACATATACCACAAACGTGTAGTGTTAATATCTGAATCCTCTGAGGATGACACTACTGTAACACCTATCATTGTACTGCCTTCAAGGATATAGAGGGTATTTACCTTTTTTCCTTTCATCACAATAAGAGAACATTTACTAACTCTTAAAACTCCACCTTCAACCAAAAACATAAAACCATTGGATTCAAGAGTGCCTAAAGAAATGAGGTTCTTCTTTAACTCTAGTATACGTCAGACATTGCTCTATTTTCTAACAATATCATTATGTGTTCTAATCTTAATTGACTCGATCCGAACAGTATTGTAAGGCATGTTATTTTCCAACAAGACATTTTCACCATTAATAGACTAATATGTGACAAACCAATTCCTATGTGGACGCATATGGTAGGAACAACCCGAATCAAGAACCCACTAATCTTGTGAATGATTATTAATACTAACTGAAAGAATTTCATGTGAACTAGAAGACTCTTCAGTTACAGTAGCGACTAAAGGTTCATCTCCCAAGACTTCGACTGTGAATTATCCTTTGCTTTGAGTGCTGGACAATTAGGTTTTATATGTCCAAACTTGTGATAGTAATGACATTCATCGTTTTTTTTTCTTGGCCTTGACTTTGATCTAGACATGTTTCTAGATTTTTCTATACTACCAACACCTTTTTCAGGACAACCAAGGACAAACAAACCTTCAGCTTGATCCTCTTCTCCAACGACAAGCACTTTCTGTCTTAATTCTTTTGAACGTAAGGCTGATTTGACATCCTCTAAAGAAAGTATATATTTAACATAAAGCATACTATTGACAAAATTCTCATAGGAAGGCGGTAATGAATATAATAAAATAAGGGTTTGATATTCTTCATCAATTTTAATATCAATATTTTTTTAATCCATAAGAATAGTGTTAAGTTTATCTAAGTGGTCTTTCATTCGCATAGTTTCCTTCATGTGAAGGGTGAAGAGGCGTTGCTTAAAGGAGAGTTTGTTCGTTAGAGATTTCATCATGTACAAGCTCTCTAACTTGAGCCACAGGCCAGCAGCAGTATCTTCATTACTCTCGCAGGACCTTATCGGCCAAACAAAGCTGTATGACACTATGCGCCATTAACTCCAACTCTTTTTTCTCATCATCTAGCATGGGTTCCGGAAACTTGTCTTTCCCAGACAAGACTTTGAACAATCCTAATTGTATTAGTAGAGTCCTCATTTTGACTCTCCACAAACTAAAGCTATTTCTCCGTTGAATTTCTCCATCTTGTATTTTACAGAAGACATCTTGAAGCCCACAAGAATAACACTGGAGCTCTGATACCAATTTGTTGTAGCGGGGGCTACACAGCCACATAAGATGTCTATACAAAGTGAATAATAACACAATATTATGTAATCACATTAAAGACAGAAAACAACACACAAAGATTTAACGTGGTTCAGTGAGTATGACCTACGTCCACGGACAAGAACAAAGAAATTCACTAATCACAAAGAGAAGATTACAAAACAAAACCATTATAATATCTCTCCAAACTCACACAAAGAACAGAACACTCTCAAAGAAAACTCTCTTTTTTTTTTCTCTTCAACTCCCTCTTTCTTCTCTCTGTTTTGAATACATTTACCTCTCATCTTTGAAGGTATTTATAGCTTCAAAAGGGTTGGTAGAATAGTGAGAGAGGTTGGTGGAATAGTGATGGGGATGTGTGAAGTAGTAATAGGGTTAGTGGGTTTTGAATTCATGTTCCAAGTCAAAAAAATAACAGTCTACGTATGGTTCTTTATATATGCTTTATATATTGAAGCCATTGTCAAATTGATCATGCATATCTTGATTCTGTTTGAGTACAAGCCTTGAGATTATTTTCCTTTTTAATGAGATTTATCAAATTGTTTAGGTGATTGCTTCACATTATCTTTCATAAGGAAAACAGCAATATTGAATTTGTGCTTGAGTAATGTCATAACCAGGGTGAATTGGACATAGGACGTTTTATTACAACAAAAGCTTTTTCAACAATGGTTTCACAATAGTTGAAGTTTCACAATTACAAGCATAGCTTTTTGAATGAGATGTTCTGAGTGATTTTTGCTTCAAATAAAATAGATCATCTTGTTGTTGGCCACTTCAGTTTCCTCTGGATCAACCAGAAATTTAGTAATTTAATATTTTAAGAAAATTTTACTAGTCCTCAGGTGTCATAGTAATATTCTCATCTTCAGTTTGATGGCATCTGTACAATTAAAACTTCGACATTGACTCGGAATGGGACATAGGATGATTCAAAAGTGATTAACTGGTCTTACTCTACATCCAGTGGTGCAGAGTTTTAAGGGAATATAGTGCAGAGTTTTCTGTAATTCTAATGGAATTTCTGCATTTTTCCCCCCATCTTCCAGCACTAGGTAATGTAATTCCCAATTTTGTAGAACAATTGATTGCGAATAGACACCCTACAATTTTATAGTTGCAGATAGACACCCCATACTATCGCTTAATTGCAGGTAACCACCTGTGCGAACTTTTTCTTTGACTCTCCCTCGGGAGGTCTATTTGTCAAATAAAAAAAAAGAAAGAAAGAAAAAAAAAATGAACCTCTTTGTTTGAGGGTAACATAGTAAAAAAAATTTATCCCTGGTCTTAACTGCAAGAATAGAACTACAGGTGGTCTCTCCACTATCTGTAAATAACCCCTTGTAGAACTATTCTTGAAAATCTCTTGAAAAGACATGGGTAAGATTATGCCGTCTCCAGGCCCCTGATAACAAGAAAGGATTCTCATAGAGAAGGTGCATATCTGATACAGGTAAGATTCAGGCAAGCTTTATTCAGGTCAAGTTCAGAAAACATTACATATAATTCAGCACGCGATCCACTCATTTGATAAAAAGGAGCAAGCTTTGTGCTTCATCATTCAAATTACAGCATTTAGAAAACCAAACATCTCAGACTCCAGAAGAAAATTTTCTGCCTGAAACAATGTTATTAATGAATCTGATAATGAGCTGATTCACTTGGTCTGGGAACTGCTCCTGAACAAAATGAGTTCCTTCAGGAATATATACGATCTCCAAATCTGGAACGAATTCTTTCACCTCGCCATTTCTAACATATTCATCCATGCCAGAAAATTTGAAAATGTAGTCCTTTTCTCCCATAATCAGCAACGCAGGAGCTTCTACTTTGGGGTTGGCGACTTCCTTCATGTTATGAAATGACCTGGGATGAAGCTTTAAGACTTTGAGTTTCCATTAGAATTAGGAAGAAGTTACTAACTCCCTTGTCCTGAACTACCACCTTCCTCTCTTAAGCATCAATGTAACTATCATCACGCTTCTACTATATTTACGGGTCCAACATAGCCGTTCTGTGAATCAAACAGTTGACTGATAGATGACATGACAGTGCTTATCTTTTCTTTTATTTTCTTTTCTTTTTTACATTTCTTCCAATTTCTACAATTCCAAAATTGATTTTCCCATTGTAAAACAGGAATAAAGGGGAAAAAGTTTGTGGGGAAAGTAGTAGAGAATATTTTTTCTTTGGTGGGAAATGAGAAAGGTGGGTTTCACTGGCACTGCTGCATCATCAATCAGTTAAAATATTTGACTGCGAACTCATTGAATTACCATACTAGGCACATACACAGAATATACACGAGATAATTTGTAAATTGATGCTTAAAAGAAGAGGTGCAAGTTTAACAATAATTTGAAGTGGAAGTTAGTCATTTCTACCTAAGAGCTATTTTGGAAGTAATTCGTAAGAATTATTTGGTGCAGGTCAACTAGGTCAGTTATCTCACCTGTATGGAATTTGCATAGGAGCCACGAATCCAGACTTCTCATATAAATCAGTATAAACTTGGAGATCTTTTTCACTTAACCACTGGGGCAAAGGAGTTAAAGGGTCTACAAGATCCATTATTTCGTGACCGTCCCCAGCTACCGGAAGCTCACTACCGGAGAAGAGAATGTAGATGTTTTGAAGTACTGTTTTCGTGTCAAAACGGGCAAAGTCTGCTTCTGCTCGTCCAGGTTCCTAAAAACAGTCATGGGAAATCAAACTACGAACAAATTAAAATAAATTGGCGCAAGTTTTCTCCTGATGATGAAATTTGTTACCCTCCATCTTGTTATGTAGAAGCCTTTGGGAGGTTCACGGACTGTGGAGAAGGATTTGGGAGCAAAAGGCACGCCCACAGTTATGATACCTGAGACTCGGTCTGGGTGTTGGATCGCAAAATCAAACGCGGGTTTGGCTCCAAAATCCTTGCCAACGATGAATGCCTTTGTTGTAAAAATCAAACATGAGTAATGAGAGGAACAGGCTGTTATCAGGGACTACAAAGAGGCATAAGAAAACAAATTTATCGGTAGTTGGTTATATAGTCTTATACCTTCAAGGCTTCAACCTTCGGAGCAGACCCTGGGTGTATTCACATTTTGTTTTGCTATGTGGATCATTAATAGCATTGCAATGATTTCTCTTTCTAATTTGAATAAAAGAAGAAATGAAGCAATTTTTTGCACAAAATGGGTTGGAGTTATGAACTTATCGTTGGGATTAACTCCATTATTCCAATCAAGAACAAAATTTTACAGTTTGTTTTACTTAAAATACCCCAGAGTTTTGGTATTTTAAAATTAATAATTTTTGTAGATATTAGTCCCTTACAATCATTAAATTTGCTATTGTTGTGCCCTGAGAAACCAAACCAATCGCCAAGAAAGATAAAGAACCAACCAAAATCAATAGCACAAACAATCAAACACCAGTTTTACGTGGTTCGGCAAGATGCCTATGTCCACGGGGCAAGGAGGGGAGAGTTTTCACTATTAGAAATCAAGAGGAACAAACTAGGGTTACAATCTCTCACCAAAACCCTCAACAACTCACTCTTAATCTCTCCAATTGCTCCTAGAATAGAAGCCCAAAGAAAACCCTCACAATCTGCTCAAAAACTCCTGGCTTGCATACCCTAAAAACACCCAAAGGGTATTTATACAAATCCAAAACAAAACGGGTCTGGAAACTGAACCCTGACATAACTGCTTTGGCGGTCGACCGCGCAGGTCTCGCGGTCGACCGTGACGGTCGACCGAACCCCAAAACCCGAGAAAAAAACCATTACAGTCATCCACGGTCGACATCTCCGAAACCCAGTAGGACTGTGTGCACGTTGGCGGTCGACCGCCAGTCTGTCTGCTGGTTCCTATATGTTTTCCTGTTTTCCTGTAATTCTGTTTTCTCTGTAATTCTTCAGCTATTAGGTCTCCCAAACTCATACATGTTGCTACTGCACCTCTTTAACTGGAGCGACTGATTTAAAACATGTTAAAGGAATTGATGGATCTAATAGTAATTTCACTTGTCTGATTTGAATGTCTAATTTTGAAACAACTTTTTTTTTATCGCGCCTTTGGCGCACACAAGAATTGAACTTAGGCCCTCCAGGAGAGATGCGGTTTTATGATGTGGCAACTTAACAAGCAGAAAATATACCAATGTAGACTCTAATTTATGATCACATCCCAACAGATGTCGCTCAATTTTACAACTTCAATCCGATCATAAATTGGAAGATAAAATTGGTAACTACATATTCAGTGAAATCCAGTAATGATACCTTGGGAATGGTAAGAGAATCAAGAACAGCAACTAGATCATCAATTAAATCATCCCACGAAGCCTTCTCAAGCTCCTGTGGCCCATCAGAGAGCCCGAAACCGCGAAAATCCATCGCAATCGCTCGGTATCCTGCCTCGGCCACGGCCATCATTTGATGCCTCCATGAGTACCAAATCTCTGGAAACCCATGGAGGAACACTACATTACCCAATTCACCTGCATGCAAGGGGAAGATATGAAGGAAAAAAGAACAACAGAGCTAAAAGTTTAAGGGGAAAAAAATATGTACTGAAATCAATAATTACCTTCTCCTATGTGGGCTATGTGAAGGTTGAGGCCGTGAAGGTTGAGGTGCGAGTGAGATATCTTGTACCAATCCATGGGACTAACTAAATTGGTTTAGTTTCCACGGGAGAGATGAAAAGAGCAGTAGTTTGGGTCAACGTTAAGAAAAAGGACAAATTTTCAAAACCAACCTTTTTTTGTTTTTATTTGCAAAAACCGACCCCTTTTGAAAATAATTACAAAAACCGACCTGTTTTTAGCCCAGCGCTGAAAACAGGTCGGTTTTTGTAAAGAGTTCTCCGAAACATCACGGGAGTTCAACTCCCGTGAAGTTTATTGAGAAATTAAACTTCACGGGAGTTCAACTCCCGTGAAGCTTAATTTCTGCTTAAAACTCCACGGGAGTTGAACTCCCGTGGAGTTACAGTCAGCAATTCCAGAGAATCGAGTCTCTGGCAAATTGTGACTGCAACTTCACGGGAGTTCAACTCCCGTGAAGTTGCAGTCACAATTTGCCAGAGATCGAGTCTCTGGAATTGTTGGCACTGCAACTCCACGGGAGTTGAACTCCCGTGGAGTTTGCTACCACCTATTTAAGCGCGCGTGACCCCCCCGACCCCAGCCCACAAACCCTAACATTTCAACTTCGTTCCCAAACGCCGCTTCCCAGTTCCGTCGCCACCCCAGCCTCCAACCGCCGCCGCCCCAGCCTCCGACCCCCGCCAGTGCCCCAGATCCCGACCGCCGCCGGCGCCGCCGCCTCCGACCGCCTCCGACCGCCGCTCCAGTTCAGATCTCAGTCAGTTTTTTTCCAAAAAACAGGTAAATTCTTTCTAAAAAAGCTGTACTCTCTAATTTTTTTATACTCCCACTATTTGATTGTGATTACATGTAAGAATCTAGATTTTAAAATTTAATTATGAATTGTTTATGAATTTTATGAAGAAATGTGAAAAGTAGATGGGAAATTATCAATAAATGTGAAAATTAGAGGGAAAATTATCAATAAATGTGAAAAATAGAGGGAAAATTATCAATGGGGAAATTATCAATAATTTTTGTGAAATTTGTGAAGAATTAGTGTGTAATTTATCAATAATTTTGTGAAATTAGAGGGGAAATTATCAATAATTTCGAAAATTATTGTATTTAGAGTTTAGAATTTAATTGTGAATTATTTAGATTTTGTGAAGAAAAATTAGATTTTAGATTTTTGCATATGTATGATATAAATTAGATTTTAGAATTTAATTGTGAATTATTTACGAATTTTGTGAAGACGTATTAAATAATTTTGCGTATTTAGAGGTGAAATTATCAATTAATGTGGAAATTAGAGTTACTACCTAAATGTAAAAATTAGTAACAATCAATATTTATTTGGCTTTTCGTGTAATATTGATATTGAATTTTTCACTCTTCAGAGGTAACGATGAATGATCGAATTGTAATTCTCTGTTCTTATGATGGGAAGATTAATTACCTCGAGAATAATATGCCCGTTTATGAAGGAGGCACGACGAGACCGTTGTTCATAACAAAATTGTGTACTTTCGATGATTTGGTTAATGAATTACACAAACTTACATTAACTAACTCACGTGAGTATCACCTCAGTGTGGTTTGCAATTATCCTATTGTGGGGAACAGAACAAGTGGCATTCAAATATCAAGTGACTACGATATGGGTCTCATTCATGTCTTACATGACGAGAAGCGTTCGGTCGAATTGTTCATTGAAAAACATCATAGAGATTTGGGCAAATCGTTGAACTACGAAGGAATGTATTCCTGCATGTTGGAGGATGCTGAAGTTGATTCTGTAGGCTTTTTATCTCCTCAACAAGATGAATGTTGGACACAATCACAATACATGAGCGGTCCTTCATTCGTGGGCACTTCGAATGCTTTCGATACTAACACGGGAATTCAAGAAGATAATGCAAGTGTTGAATCCGAGAATGATGATGAAGAGGAGGGATTACAAATTAATAGCATGACCTTGATAGGATCGTGATGACAGGAAAACCAACACATCGACGGATGTTATGTTAATAATGAGTATGTCGGCTTAGAGGATCCGCCGCCCGATGAACTTCAAGGAGATGAATGGATTGATAACTCCGCGATGGAAAGTGTTCCTATTGGCACTAATAGTGGTGTTGATACACATGCCAAGGACTTCTCATTCATGAAGGGAGATCTTTACGAGAGTAAGGAGAAATTGATCCATGCTATTCACACGTATTCCATTGCAAAAAATGTGAAGTTCAGGCCAACCAAAAATAATACTACAAGCTATAATGTGGTTTGTTTCTATCGCAAAGATGACGATGTCGAAGATAATAGTGGACACCACGACGGCAATGCGAGGTGTCCGTGGAAGCTTAATTCACGCTCGGGTGCAAGAGTAGGTGGGCAATTCAAAATCACGGCATACAATGGACTCCACACTTGTAGCAATCCTCGATTAGAGATGAATAACAAGAATGCGTCCTCTTCTTTTATATATCGATTGATTTTACCGCATCTGAGGGAGGATCTTGATCTAAGGCCGAAAGATATCCGTCTTTTAGTGCATAAAGCCACCAACTTGGATGTATCATATCACAAGTGTTGGAATGCTAGGAGGAAGGCGATGATAAAAATATTCGAGGATTGGGATAATTCGTATGAGATCTTACCTCATTATCTTGAAGCACTCAAAAGAGAAAATCTGGGGATTGTCTACGAAGTATCTTCGGACCCCGTTGATGGCGGAGAACGGCGGTTCACCGGTGTATTTTGGGCATTTGGGCCCTGTATTGAGGGGTTTCGATATTGCCGTCCTCTTCTTAGCATTGATGGAACTCACTTATATGGTAAATACAAAGGTGTTTTGCTTGTTGCAACCGGTGTTGACGCGGATGGCGGGTTGTTTCCTTTAGCATTCGTAGTGGTTGATGTTGAAAACACAGAGAATTGGGCTTGGTTTTTTGCATGCATTAGATATCATATCCCTAGTGTGGGGACGCGGCCGATTACATTCATATCCGATAGGATGAAAGGAATTCCAAGAGCACTCCAACGACATTTCCCGCCACCACATGCACATCGCTATTGCTTGCGACATATTAGAGACAACTTCAAGAAGAAGTATGGAAACGCTCAGGTTCAAGACTTACTTTGGCAAGCCGGTTGTGCAACAGAAAAATATGTTTATGAACAAATACGAGAGAGGATCAAGTTCATTTCACGAGCTGCACATGATTGGATCGAAACTAGTTTGGGTCCAAACAATGTTGATAAGTGGGCTTTATGTGAGGATGGCGGTCGACGGTTCTGTATGATGACTACGAACACGTCTGAGAGCTTCAATGGCGTGCTCAGGGGAGCATGCGACATGCCAATACAGACACTAGTTGCTAAAACTTTTTACAGACTTAATAAATTCTTTGTTCGACATCGAGAACTTGGTGAAAATATCCGCTCAGAGCTAACACCGAAGGTTGATGAAATGCTAGCGGCTCGGATTGTACAAGCTCGGTCCTTTCAGGTTGTACGATACAGTTTTAATGAATGGGAGGTGCTCGAGGGAATAACCCATAGAGAAAATCGCTCTTACAAAGTCAATATGTTGGTGGATCACACTTGTACGTGCACTTGCAATGTACCGCAACTACAATTGATTCCTTGTTCACATGTTGTAGCAGCTTGCTCCGACCTACAGGGTGGTGCTCGCATTTCACATTATGAATTTGTCGACGCTTGGTATTCTGCATACAACTATCAACAAACCTACAAAGAGTGTTTTCGTCCACCATACGATAGTCGACATTGGACACAAGATGGGCCACGGATATTACCTCCATTGTATAAAAGATCGGCGGGGCGCCCTCGTTCCGTGCGTATTAGAAATAGTATGAATGACGGACGTGAAGGAGCTAGGAGGAGAAATAAGTGCAGTAGATGTAATCAACCGGGTCACAACAAAAATAGGTGTCCAGTTAGTATTAGGCGTTGATTTGTATTATGTAGCATTTTGCACTATGTCATTCGTATTTGTTATCTTTGAAGCGTATGATACTTGTTATTTGTAATATGTTCTGTATGATACTGCGTTCATTTCACCCATGCATTTGTATTATGTAGCGTTTTGCACTATGTCAGATCATGTATGTCATTCGTATTTGTTATCTTTGAAGCGTATGATACTCGTTATTTGTAATATGTTATGTATGATACTGTGTTCATTGCACTCTGTATATATGCTCATATTTTAATCACAGGTCTATTCATTATGGATCCGGGACCGGAAAATCCCGACGTTTTGTACCTTCAGGCGAGTCATTGTTCAGACCATATTGGTTCGGGAGAGGTAATACGAATAAATTAGATATATATTTCTTCGATTAATGTAATTTTTTTATGAATATGCTTATAACTGATTCTCGTTTTATGTGCAGCCCGTACCAGAGTTCACAATGATCGAGCATTCCCAGAGTCATTCGGCTTGGGTCATTAAGGATGAGAGGGTACTACTACTGATCGCTCAGGCCGGTTTTCGACCGTGTTCGACGATTCGTTATATCAGGCTTGATTGGCCGCTTATCACTGCTTTGATTGAGAGGTGGAGGCCAGAGACCAACAGCTTTCACATGCATATAGGGAAGTGCACCATCACTTTACAGGACGTGGCCGTCATACTTGGGCTCCGGATCGATGGACCGGTAGTTACGGGCACCGATGATCATAGTTGGCCGGGGGTATGTGCCCGGCTTCTTGGACAGGTTCCCGACTTGAGGAGTGGTGCGATGAAGCTATCTTGGCTTCGTCAGACATTTTAGAGCGATATACCAGAGGATGCCTCTATTGAGACGCTCCAGTTTCATGCTCGTGCATACATATTGCACATGATAGGGTGCGTACTATTTCCTGATGTGAGCAAGACTCTCTCGTACATGCACGATGGCTGCCACTGCTGGAGGATTTTTGTGTATGCGGCGCACTATCGTGGGGCAGTGCGGTGTTGGCATATTTGTATCGAGAATTGAGTAGAGTATCTTGTTGGCCTTCTTGTTTTGATGATGATTTACAAACAATTTACATCTAATATTATTTGTCTAGTGTTTGTGTTTTATATTTATTCTAGGCAAACAATATGTTGGAGGATGGATGGAATAGAGCTTTAACGATGATATCCAAAGGAGGTTGGCGGAATGTCGGTGAAGCCTTGCAATTCAAAGTTAAAGATCAAGTTCAAGCTTCATCCGCATGTGTACCAAGTTGAGCTACAATGAAGATCAAGATCAAGCTTGGGTAATCTAGTTTAGATTTTATATTATGTGTGTTAAGTACCTTAAGCTCAATATCATATACACACACACGTATTTGGTTTCTATGTATATATATAGTTATATATATACATGCATGGTTTTGAGTTTTTATGCTTTGGACACACTTGCAAAATACATGAGTTTTCACAAATAGAAATTCAATTTGAGAAATTCTTTTTTCTAACATGTTTGTTTTCATGTTTATAAATATTTTGCAAAGTTTCATCAAGTTTGGAATTGATTTGTTATGTTTAATGGAATTTACAAAATCATGTTTTTGTTCGTGCACATGTTCGTGCATGTTTTATAAAACAGATGATTTTTTTATAAATAGGAAGTGGTATTCAATAAATTCTTTCTTTGACATGTTTATCTACATGTTTATAAACTTTTCTCAAAATTTTACTATTTTTGGAGTTGATTTACTGTGCCCAATTGATTTTACAAAATCGTGTATGTCAGCAGATTTTTAGAAACTGTATATCTGTATTCAAACATTTATTTATCTCAAATAAAAAATTATTTTTCATAAATTCTTTCTCTAAAATGTTCATATACATGTTTAGAACATTACCACAAAATTTCATGATTTTTGGAATTGATTTACTATTTTTAATTGATTTTATAAAGTTAGATACGCAAATTTCCTGAATGCTGGAATTTGGGGTATTTTGGTCTTTTCAGCCTATAACGGCTAGTAACGGCTAGTTTTTGATATTTTCGGTTTTTGGGGGTTTGTGGCTGGTTTAAGAGGCTATAAAAAGCCCTCAACTTTTATTGTTTCTTATGGATGTTTAAGAGAGTTTTAAAAAGAATTTTACAAGTTTGTTAAAGGGTTTTTAAGTTTGTTTCAAGAGTTTGTTTGTGAAGAAAATTCCACAAGCTTGAGGAGATCATCTATTGAAGTTTGAGCTTCCAACTATTCTCCCTCCACCTCTTGATCTATTGAGAAGTTTTCTAAACTCTTATCTATTTTTACATTTGCTTAGTTATTTGATTATCTTTCTTTAAAGCTAGTTTTTATATTGAGTTTAGATTTGATTTTAATCTCATTGTTACACACACCCATATGAGCTTATTGTATTTGCATACATAGTATATTAGGGTTGTGAGAGATTGTAACATTGAGTTGTGCTTCATTGTGTTCTCATCTATTATAGAGAACAAATTTATATTTGTTACATTGTGAGTGTTGTAAGGTTTTCGGTGAGCTAGAAACCGAGTATGTAGTGAAGTTTTCGGTGAACTAGAAAACCGAGTGTGAGGAGTGAATGTTGTTCGGTCAGCATTAAAAACCGACACTGTGAGGTGTAAACGTTATTCGGGTGAGCGTAGAAAACCTGGTTATGATAGTGGATTTCTCCCCGGGAGTGGGGAGCGGAGACGTAGGACGGAAGGTCCGAACTCCGTGATCATATTGCTTGTTTGAGTTTGTCTTTGGCGTATTTGTTTTTGCATTTATCTTATATCGCCAATTGTGCATTACTCATTTATTTCATCCACTATCTTGTTTAGATTATTTACCCTTGTGTTGTTTATATATCCTTGCATATATATTTTGCTATATATCTCTTTGCTAGGATATATCATATTGTATATTGCTTATCCTAGCTCATATATATTATTGCATTTCATACTTGCTAGGATAACTCGTTAATTAATTTTAGTTGGCATTTAATCGGATTAGATTAGCATAAGACCCTAATCACCCCCCCTCTAGGGTCTAACATATCTCTGATGCAGAATAAAGAATTCAAGGGATGCTGTACGTTGATACAGATTTGGTCATGGGAGCACATTCATATTGGACGACCCACTTTACTTATGCACCGTGACTTAGAGGGGCAGTATCCGTTGGCATACAGGTATAATTGTACACACACATATTTCATTCGTAACCTGAATATTTGTACTTATATATCCGCTATTCTGCATATAGGTATAATGTACGATACGCTCAGTACAGATCAGCGACACGTCACCGTCAGTTTTACCGAAATGAGCTTGATGGCCTCCAGCACGAACAGGTAAATATAAAACTCAAAAAGTATGAATATTATAGTTTTTCTGTATGATACTGATAAATGTTTTATTTTATTTCAGTTCAAGTAGAGACCCTATACACCGCCGGAGCTCGATATGCATTCTCTTGCACCTATCTGCCGAGATAGTCCCGACTTGTGGAGAGCCAGAGTTCCATTGATCTGTTGGGAGATCGTAGAGATGCATGTACCGGACTGTGTGCTACGGCAGTTTACACTCTCTCAACATATTCCAGATCCTGTCGAGCAGATCAATCGTCGGCGGCGTCCTACATCGCACCGGACTAACTGGGCCGTAGTCCGTGTGGCCTACATAGATAGGTGGGTTCACAGGTGGGATTGCATACAGGATACGAGGCCCACAGCTATTGACTATATCGCGTATATGCATTGGTATTGGGGTATCACACGTAGATGGATCACGCGTGACCCATAGCCCTTAGTTGGACACATGCCACGCCCACCGACAGATAGTTACATCCCTAGTGGGATGAACGAGAGAGATTACGTAAGCGCATGCCGATGACGCCGGCACTTCGCATGCCGATGACGCCGGCACTTCGCATGCCGATGACGCCGGCACTTCGCATACCGATGGAGCCGGCACTTCGCATGCCGATGGAGCCGGCACTTCACAGCTTCATACACAGCCGGATACTCAGATAGTTGTGGCTCATTAGCAGGAACCCAGGGGGCGGGGAAGAGCGAGGGGGAGGGGGAAGAGAGGGAGAGGAAGGAGGGGAGCTATATTGGGTTGTATTTGAACTTATTTTGTTAAAATTTGTAACTTTCCTGAATTTTCAAATACTAAACTTTTGAAGGTAAATTATTGTTCATATACATAATCGTGTGTGTTTAATTCATGGTTGAATCATGTATATATTGTTGTTTGCAAATAAATTGGCATATATATGAGTTATAATTCATGGTTGAATCATGTATATATTGTTGTTTGTAAATAAATTGGCATATATATGAGTTAACAGGTACATATACAAAACATGCACAACAGGCTGTGCATTCTGGATGACCTGCAACTTCACGGGAGTTGAACTCCCATGAAGTTGCAGTCCCAATTTCCCAGAGAACCGAGAGATCGGTTCTCTGGGAATGTTTGACTGTAACTCCACGGGAGTTGAACTCCCGTGGAGTTTTAAGCAGAAATTAAACTTCACGGGAGTTCAACTCCCGTGAAGTTTAATTTCTCGATAAACTTCACGGGAGTTGAACTCCCGTGATGTTTCGGAGAACTCTTTACAAAAACCGACCTGTTTTCAGCGCTGGGCTGAAAACATGTCAGTTTTGTAATTATTTTCAAAAGGGGTCGGTTTTTGCAAATAAAATCCTAAAAGGGGTGGTTTTGAAAATTTGTCCTTAAGAAAAATTGGTTTAGTCTCCTATGTGGACTATATTTTATATTTTTTATGTATAATTATAGTGTGGTATTGTCATTAATGTAGTACATATATATGTTTTTAAGTGTATATTGTCATTAATGTGTACTTATATATACTTACATATATATTTCTAATGTATATTATATATAATTATAGTATGATATGGTCATAATATATACTTATATATACTTACATATAATATATAGCTATATACTAATATAGTAATATGTAAATATATACTAATACATACTTATATAAATAAAAGGGAAAAATGTGTACAGAACCCAAAAGCAGAAACTTCATGTGACGAGGCCCCTTATAGTTTTTCTTATGTGAATCAGCCCCTTGATGTGTGACACTTTGTACTGCAGCCCTTTTTTATTAATTATTACATGCTAGCTACGATAAAATCTCCAAATTATCCTTATCCTCTCTCCTCAATCCCTCAGACCCAGCAGTCATATCCTCTCTCTCTCATCTCCACTCTCTCTCATCTCTCTCTCTCTCTCTCTCTCTCTCTCTCTCTCCTCTCTCTAAAACTAAGAGCTTTCTCTAGCTCATCACCCTGGATGTTTTTTTAGTCACCAGGCCGAGACGCACATAGCATTAATCCATTAGCTAGAAGAAGAAAAGAAAAAAAATGTTTGACCAGCTACAAATAAATGAACGATTTAATTTTAAAAAATAGTCAAAAGTTGTCCCTATTTTTTCACTTTCACGAGACATACACGCCTTTTTGGAGGAAGCTGAATTTGCAATAAACCTAATGTGCGCAATCTTTTTGTATTTTAATTTCGAACAAATTTTTAAAATAGACCATTTTTAAAACTTAATTAGCAAAATAGGCTGAAAAAATATTTAATTACCAAAAATCGTTGTAAGCTGGGACGGTAGTTATAAATCGTTGTTATAAATGAGGATACAGTCATGTTTTTATAAATCGTTGTTAATTATATTTGATAATAGTTATACCTAATGATATGTTATTTATAGATGCTATCGTGGTAGTTCTAGTAGCTCTCGAGTTAGTTCTAGCTACTATAATTGTTAATTCTGGCTACTAAGTTAGTTCTAACCGCTACTTGTTATTTTTGCTTTACCTTAGTTCTAGCTTCTATTACCCTAGTTTTAGCTTGTATACAGCCAGTTCTAGACTATACGTTGCTAGTTCTAAACCCAGCTCGTGTTTTTTACCTTCACACTTGTTAATTCATGCTTCTATGTTAGTTCTAGCTTCTATTACCCTAGTTCTAGCTTGTATACAGCCAGTTCTAGCCCATATCTTACTAGTTCTAAACCCAGCCCGTGTTTTTTACCTTCACACTTGTTAATTCATGCTTCTATGTTAGTTCTAACTTCTATTACCCTAGTTCTAGCTTGTATACAGCCAGTTCTAGCCCACACCTTGCTAGTTCTAAACCCAGCCCGCGTTTTTTACATGCACACTTGTTAATTCTAGCTTCAATCTTAGTTCTAGCTTCTATTACTCTAGTTCTAGCTTTTATACAATGATAATTACATTTTATTACAATTTTATACTCTCATTATCTATTTTATATAAATAAATATACCACTAATAATTGTTTTTATCTTTAATTGCAGGTTAATGAAGAATAAAGCTCAAAATCCCATCTCTCGACAAAAACCAATGAATTAAATGAAGAACAGAAGCAAGAGCCAAAAAGCCTAAGCCCAGAATCAAGCCGAGTAGCTTGTAGAAGCCGGAGAAAATAAAAAAATCAAATATGAAAAAAAATGTATTCAAGATGGTTGGCCGTAAAGAAACGACGATATCTCTCAATCCAGAAGGCGGAATTTAACATATAATATATGAAAATCGCCTATCTCGATGAAATGAAGCCATCCGTGAAAGCAAAATTTTGATAGAGCATCGATAGCAGCATCGATGCCGGCATCGATGCCAGTATCGATGCTGGCATCGATACTAACAATTCTGTTACGAATTAAGGGCTGATTTTTGATGGTTTTGGATAAGATTTTAATCCAAGGTCTCATATTTATTGATGTTTACTATAAATAGGGGTAGAGAGTGAGGGGTTAGAGGTGTGAAAATTTTTGTAACTCCTTTTGGAGAGGAGGACTACTCTTAATTGAGAAGGCCTTCCAAATTTGTAACTTTTTATTATAATTAATAATAATAATTTTTCACCACTTTAGATATTTCTTCTCTTTGTTGGATGATAAAGATGGAGATGAAGAATTATTTAGAGGTTTGCATTTCTTTTCTTTTTCTCTTTTATTTCTTTTTATTTACTTATTAGTTTAGATTTATTTCTATGCTTATAATTAGATTTTATTTTCTTGTTAAATAGCCAAGAGGCTAGAACCCTCTTGCCTTAAATTTATTTCATACTTATAGATTAGATTTATTTCATGCTTATAGAGTAGATTTATTTTCTTGTATTTAATTCTTATAATTTATTTTATAGTTTAGATTTTGTAATTTATTTTATAGTTAGATTTTAATTTCTTACACTATTCACCTTGAGGCTAGAACCTTCTTGGGTTTAGTTTTTCTTTTTGTTTATTTTTATTTTGTTTGATTTGCCATTAGGCTAGAACCCTCTAGGGAATCACCCTTTTCTAAGAAATGGGTTTAATTTTAGATTATCCATATCTATAATTGAACCCACCATCTTTAATTTCTTACATTTTCTTTTATTCTTGAATTTTATTTTTTATTCTTGATTTTTACTTGATTTTTCCTTCTTGCCTTATTAATCACATTCATTCTTTGTCACATCCACTCTCACTGACATTTTTCGCCTATTTACACACCATTTTCACTCTCTCAATCTCTTCACAATCACATTCACTCATCACTCCTAATTGTCACGCACACAACATAAGAACCGATTTTATATTTTTTCCTACAAAAACACCTTCCTCGTGGGATCGATATCTTTATACTATAACTTGACACGGTTGTACACTTACAACCTTTTTGGTACATGTTTATGCCGTATCATACAGCCAATTCAAGCCCCACACCTTGCTAGTTCTAAACCCAGCCTTCGTATTTTAGCTTCACACTTGTTAATTCTTGCTTCTACGTTAGTTCTAGTTTCTATTATCCTAGTTCTAGCTTGTAGACAAGCTAGAACTGGTTGTATATAAGCTAGAACTAATGTAATAGAAGCTAGAACTAAGGTAGAAGGTAGAATTAACAACTGTGCATGTAAAAAACGTGGGCTGGGTTTAGAACTAGTAAGGTGTGGGTTAGAACTGGCTGTATACAAGCTAGAACTAGGGTAATAGAAGCTAGAACTAACTTAGAGCAAGAATTAATAAGTGTGAAGGTAAAATACAAAGGCTGGGTTTAGAACTAGCAAGGTGTGGGCTAGAACTGATTGTATATAAGCTAGAACTAGGATAATAGAAGCTAGAACTAAGGTAGAAGCTTGAATTAACAAGTGTACATGTAAAAACGCGGGTTGGATTTAGAACTAGTAAGGTGTGGGATAGAACTGGCTGTATACAAGCTAGAACTAGGGTAATAGAACCTAGAACTAAAGTAGAAGCTAGAATTAACAAGTGTGCATGTAAAAAACACGGGCTAGGTTTAGAACTAGTAAGGTGTGGGTTAGAACTGGCTGTATACAAGCTAGAACTGGGGTAATAGAAGCTAGAACTAAGATAGAAGCTAAAATTAACAAGTGTGCATGTAAAAACGCGGGATGGGTTTAGAACTAGCAAGGTGTGGGCTAGAATTGACTGTATACAAGCTAGAACTAGGGTAATAGAAGTTAGAACTTATGTAGAAGCAAGAATTAACAAGTGTGAAGGTAAAATACGAAGGATGTGTTTAGAACTAGCAAGGAGTGGGCTAGAACTTGCTGTATATAAGCTAGAACTAGGGTAATAGAAGCTAGAACTAACATAGAAGCAAGAATTAACAAGTGTGAAGGTAAAATACGAAAGTTGGGTTTAGAACTAGTAAGGTGTAGGCTAGAACTGGCTGTATACAAGCTAGAACTAGGGTAATAGAAGTGAGAACTAAGGTAGAAGCTAGAATTAAGAAGTGTGCATGTGAAAAAAGTAGGCTGGATTTAGAACTAGCAAGGTGTGGGCTAGAAATGGCTGTA